AATCACGTATAGTCCACGTTAGAAATTTGGCACAAAGGTTTATATTATATGAATGCTGATCGCCCCATATAAAGGTACCTCCAGATTTTTAGCATTTTGAAGGTTTCTGCTACAATTTCCAATGAAATCAGCTAAACTGTAAATTTGAGGTTCTTAGTAGGTCTGTCATCTCCTCGGAAAACTTATTCGATTTAGGTCCACCAATTCGTATAGTCCCAATATAACGGTACCTCCCGATTATCGGCATTTTGAAGGTTTCTGCCATCATTTCCAACCAAATTAGATGAGACTTGACAATTGGGGTTCTCGGTAGATTTATTCTTTCCTTACAAAAAATGTTCGATTTAGGTACACTAATTGGTATAGCCCCCATAAAACGGTAGTCTCGATTTTCGATATTTTGTAGGTTTCTTCCAACCAAATCAGCTGAATCTGTACATTTGGGGTACTTGAACGGTCTGTTCTCTTCTTGCAAAAAATGCAGGGGAGGTTCCAGAAGAAATGGTCCGATCTGTACCATCTTTATAACAGATCTTGTGCTAGTAGAAATAATGGGATGCGTCAAATATGAAGAGAATCGGATGCTTATTTCGGACTTTATGATCGTTTTGATTATTCAAAACCTAAACCTTTGTGGGGGAGGTACCAGAAGGAATGGTCCGATCTTTACCATTTCCATAAGAGATCTTGTGTTGATGGAAACATTGAGATGTACCAAGTTTGAAGGGAATCGGATGTTATTTCGCGTTTTATGAGACTCATGGATATTCAAAATGTTGTCCCTTTGTGGTTGAGGTACCAGAAGAAGTGGACTGATATATTCCATCTTTACGCCAGACCTTGGGTAAATGAAAATATTGTGATGTGCGTAATTTGAAGACTATCGGACTCTTACATCACACTTTAAAAAAACATAATTATTAAAATGTTAGACCCTTTGTAGGGGAGGTACTTGATGGTGTGGATCGATATTGTCCATTTTCGCACCTGTTCCAGCACTGTTGCAAATATTAGCTTTCGCAAAGTAGGAGCAAAATCGGATAATCCTTACTCTTTCTGTACTGCAAAATATTATCTTTGAAAATTTCGACCTTTCGTGGCGGAGGTACCAGAAGGAGTGGACAGATATTGTCCATCTTCGAACTCGATCTAAGTTTGACAATAATATTACGATGTACCAAGTTTGGACCAAATCGGATAATCCCTTCGAGAGTTATAGAGCGTACTAGCCAGGCTACAGACAGACAGACGGACGGACATCACAAGATCGACTGCAAATGTCCTATAACAGTTTTATTCCAAAGAGACCTAGGGCCTTAAACCTTTATTTCGATGAGGCAGGTTTTGGCCGGATCAAATTATATATACCCTCTGTAGCCATATGTAGCCGATAAAAAAGTAGCCGATTGTCTAATTTATTTGAATGCCGCGCAAATTAAAAATGTTCAAAATTATAGTTGTATAATATCTATTACCATTCCTTCATAGAGGAAGGTACCTCTACCTACCTCCGTTATTCAGAAGGATGGGAAAAATGCACTTCTTCAATATTCCTGGCATTTAGCGATTTTTGTACTCTGATTAGCTGCAGCTGCAACAAAAATATTATGACGAGACAACGACAACAACTATGTTAATATATTTTGTTTTTGCGAATTAATTTAACAACAATAATAACATGCTTTTCTTGTTGTTGTTATTATTGTTATTTTAGCGAAATTTCTGCTTTTATTTCCTTATGTGTACGTAAAAATTTTGAAAATCGAAATTATGATGGCCAAACCATAACAATCAACAACAATAGCTCGGTATATGACCAGATAGTAGAGCAAAGGAGGGAGGGTTAGAGAAAAGAGTAAATGGAAATAACAAAGTTGTTGTATTTTCTAGCATTTCTCTCTACCATTGTATTTGTTTATAGTTTTGTTTTGATTTCACTATTTTGCCATTCATATCTCTGTCAGCCAGCCAGCCAGCTGATTTTTCTATTGTTGTTAGTGTTGTTGCTGCTGCCTCTGCTGCGCTGCTGTTGTATTTGAAATGTGTTTTAGTTATCGGCTCCCCTTTTTCCTCACGCGTTTCGAAGAAAAAAAAAAAAAAAAAAAACAAACAATGCTTGCGTTTGCCACAGTCGCAAAAGAATCATCGCAGACAACAATCAGCCAGCCAGCTAGCCTAGCCAGCTTGTGCCATGTGCTACGATCAAATTCAAAACAAAATTCGCGCAGTATCTTCACAGTTTATAGAATTCCCTTTTCGAATTAACATCGTCGTCACAGTTCAATTTTGAAACGTTGTCATCGGTTCACATCAAAATAAATCGATCGGTATTGGTTTCCTTCCAGCACCTTTGGATTTCCTTAATAAAGAAAATAAAAAAAATAAAATAAAAACATCTACAACGCCATCTCACCCTAATTGACAGGCAACACCTTACCTCACGTACCAAGCAACCACTCAGCTGAGAATTTGATCTGACTGATGATTTTCGCCAAATGCCGATTGTGTGTTTTGCATAAACAATATCTAAACTTTTTTTTTAAATTTTGAAATAAATTAATCGGCCAAAGATATGACAGCAGTGCATTTATTGTTCATGTCCGATTAAATTTCATTATTTGTTTTGAATGAATTTCATTCAGAATCCAGTGGCAGTCAAGTGTCTTAAACGTATGCAGTGAATCTAAAGAAGAAGAAAAAAAAAAAACAACAATTCTGTCAGTGGTGCATTTAAACAACAAGTGTTCCTTTTATTGTTAACATTTATTTGGAAAGATCTGAGAAATTTTGGAATACATTTACTTGTCCGAGTGAATCTGCAATAGTGAATAGTGTAAGTGAAATTTTTGAATCAAAAATTTTATGCTCGAATTTATTAAACCAAAAAGAAGTCAATGTTTGGATTTGATCCAAAGAGACCTGGGATCTAAAACCATTATTTCAATGAGGCACTTTTGGCCGTATCAAAAGATACATACCCTCTCTAGCCATATGGCTGAGGGTATAAAAATATATATACCCTCATCCATATGGCTCAGAGGGTATATATCATTTGATACGGTCAAAACGTGCCTAGTCGAAATAACGTTTTTAGGCCCTAGGTTTTTTTTGGATCAAATCCGTTTCAGAACATTTTGAGTCGATCTAGCGATGTCCGTCCGTCTGTCTGGCGCACGATAACTCTCTAAGGGAGTATCCGATTTTGTCCAAACTTGGTACATCGTAATATTTTTGTCAAACTTAGATCGAGTATGGAGTGGGCAATATCGGCCAACTCCTTCTGGTACCTCCTCCACAAAACGTCGAAAAGTTTTTGCACAGAAAAAGAAAGGACAATCCGATTTTGCTCCAATTTTGCAAATCTGAATATTTGCGTCAGTGCTAGGTCAGGTGTGAAAATGGACAATATCGGTCCACTCCGTCAAGTACCTCCCCCACAAATGGTCAAAATTTTTAATATTTACAACACTCTACAATGTGATATTAGAGTCCGATTGTCTTCAAATTTCACACATCCCAATATTTATTTTAATCCAAAGTCTGGTGTTGAGATGGAATATATCGGTCCACTCCTTCTGGTACCTCCCCCACAAATGGTCGAAATTTTCAAAAATATATATTTTTTTTTGCACAGAAAAAGAAAGGATAATCCGATTTTACTCCAACTTTGCGAATCCGAATATTTGCATCAGTTCTACGTCAGATGCGAAAATTTACAATATCGAACCACTCCATCAAGTACCTCCCCCCAAAGGGTCAACATTTTGAATAATTGTAACTCTTCTAAAAAGTTGATGTAAAAGTCCGACTGCCCTCAAATTACACACATGGCAATAATTTTATTAATCTAAAGTCTGGTGTAAAGATGGAATATATCGGTCCACTCCTTCTGGGACCTCCTCCATAAAGGGTTAAAATTTTGAATAATTATAAGTCTTCTAAAAAGTTGATGTAAGAGTCCGACTGTCTTCAAATTACACACATCACAATATTTTTATTAATCCAAGGTCTGTAACGGTTCACTCCTTCTTGTACCTCCCCCACAAAGGGTCACAATTTTGAGAAGAGATAAAGCTCATAAAGCGCGAAAATAACGTCCGATTCCATTGAGACGTGGTACATCTTAAAATTTCCATCAACACAAGATCGGTTATAAAGATGGTAGAGATCGCAAAATTCTTCTGGTTCCTCCCCAACATAGGGTTTAAGATTTTGAAAAACAAAACGGTCAAAGAAAGCGAAATAAGCATCCTTCATCTCTTCAAATTATAGCTCAGATATCCAATGAAAAATATTAAAAATTTTAGCTTGGATGCCTCAAGATCTTATAATCTTAAAAAGGATCCACCTTACCTTTGAAAATTATTTTTACAAAAAAAAAAAAAAAAAAAAAAAACGATTATGACTTAGGTGTCCCATTACAATATTCTACAAAAATCCTCGATTATAGCTTGGATGAAAAATTATTTGCAAAAAATCCGTGCTTACATCTAAGATATCCCACAAAATATTGCTGATGAAAAATCCAGAATTTAATAATTGATTAGAAACTTCCCCAAAAGGCATTCCCTTCGTGAGTACTTGAAATTGATAATTGCAAAACATTGCATCATTGAAATAAAATGTACTTCAAAATCCCCCATATTGATTTGAAATTAACAAAGCTTTTACGTTAATAACATGTTATATGAAAGTCATCAGAGAGCTAAACCTTCACGAAGAAAGAAAGAACGAAACAAAAAAGGTTAAAGAAACTAACAGAGCGGCCGTGTGATTATTTACGCTGACTGCCCTCAGAGGCAATGGTCTGACTCATGTTTTTATTTGCTTTTGTTATTAAGAACAGAACAAAAAAGTACCGCACCAATATTAATATATTAACAACAACAACTTGCAAGACTTTCGTCAATATTTACAATATTTACTTTTAATATTTACAATATTTACATTTAATTGTTTTCAAAAGATTCGTTAACATTTTTCTTCATTTTCAATTTTAGGCCTCTTTCTGGAGTCTGGGCAGTTTAAATTGGAATTTGTCCTTTTCAACATCGGGACGTCGCCACTCATTTAAGCAACGGCAAAAATCTTCGCGCAAAAGGTATAGTCATTTCTTATTATTTTTGTTAAATGTATTTTTAATATGTACTTTTTCCGATTGTTTTTTTTTTCTAGCTTCAATACCCTACAGTATAGTCGCCGATCAAAAACGCAATGGCATAAACCTCTAACAAATGCCATTTTCAGTTCACACTTTAAAGAGTCGAGTCGTAATAGTGAATTTCATATAGACCATTTGGTAGCTAAGGGTGCCTTCGGTGTGGTTTTCAGAGTTATTGATAAGAACGCCGCAGAAAAGCAACAACATAAGCACGGACAACAAGAAAATAATACTGATAAACAATCTTCAACTCCTGTTTATGCACTAAAAGTTCTTAAGAAATCTAAAGTAAGTGGTAATGAATGAGTGGTCAGAAATTGAAAGCAATTTTACACTGTTCGACAAGGATGTTTCCAGATCATTAACATCAATGTATTGATTTTACTTTCAATATACAGATTAACAGTCGCATGTGGAAAATACTAAAAACGTTCCTGAAAGATATAATGCCTAGGACTATCAATTCAACCCTTTAAGTTTACTTTTGCGCCAACTCGTCATGAATATGCACTTGACAGACATTCCGATGTTTTTTTTCGCTGTAATTAAGACATTAATAACCAATCGTAAATTGTATAGCATTTCCTGGTAGGAAGGTTACTTTTGCGCTACCTTATATATCTATTTTAAAATTCGCAATTCAAAATTCGATAGTCCTAAACAAATATTCTTTAAAATGTCTAATAACTTTCAAAATGTCCCTAACCAATATTCTTCAAAATCCATTATTAATTGTGCGATTTCTAATCATAAATACACGACTAAAGGCAGATAGAAACAACTACTGTTGTTCTGGAAAAACACTTCTTTTCGGCCAAAGACTAATACTTTAGCCCAACATATTGTAACAACATATTCTTCAAAATATCTGATACCTTTTCCAAAAATGTCCTTAACATTATTAGTGGTGCGATAGACCTTCATAAATATTCATCAAAATCCATGACTGAAGGCAGATAGAAAATACAGCTGTTGTCAAATAATTATATTCCGGAAAGACACGATTTCTTTTCGGCCAAGGACTGATACCTCAGCCCATTGTTTAACAACATTAGTCCCTTAATGAATCTTCATATAATTTTTCGTAATCCCCAGATTATGTTTTGATATTCCTGTATGAATGTTCTTCACAATGTCCGATAGTTTAAGAAAGTCATTAACAAATATTGTTCAAAATCCATTACTGGTGGATGTTCATCAAAATCCACGACTGAAGGGAGACAGAAAATATTGCTGTTGTCATACAACGTTACGGAAAGACACGAGTTCTTTTGGTCAAGGGCTAATACCTCTCCCTTTTCTGTAACAACATTAAACTCCTAAAGAACTTTCATATAAGTTTTAAAAATTCACAATTAATGATATGATGGTGATATTCTTCAAGTTGTTCGATAGGTTTTTAAAAGTATCCTTAAAAAATATCAACCAAAATCTATAATTGGTAAAGCAAACGGACTTTTATACCCTCAGTCGTATGGCTACAGAGGGTATAAATCATTTGATACGACCTCATCGAAATAACGGTTGTAGACCCTTGGTCTCTTTGGACCAAATCTGATTCAGGACATTTGGAGTCGATCTAGCAATGTCCGTCCGCCCGTCTGTCTGTCTGGCTGGTGCGCACGACAACTTTCGTAGGGAGTATCCGATTTGATCCTAACTTGGTACATCGTAATATTATTTTCAAACTTAGATCGAGTTCGGAGGTGGACAATATCATTCTACTCCTTCTGGCACCTCCCCCACAAAATGTCAACATTTTAAAAGAAAATTATTTGCTTCACAGAAAGGTTAATTCGATTTTGCTTCAACTTTGCAAATACTAATATTTGTCACTCCAACCAGTACCTCCCCCACAAAGGGTCAAAATTTAGAATAATTATCACTCTTATAAATTGTGATGTAAGTGTTCGATTGTCTTCAAATTACACACATTACAATATTTTTATTAACCCAAGTTCTGGTGTAAAGATGGAATATATTGGTCCACTCCTTCTGGTACCTCCCTCACAAAGGATCAAACATCCGATTCCATTCAGACTTGGTACATATCTATATATTCATCAAAAACGATCATAAAATATGAAATAAGTATCCGGTTCTCTTCAAATTACACACATAACAATATTTTTATTAACCCAAGGTCTGGTACCAAGATGGGATATATCGGTCCTCCCCTTCTGGTATTTCCCACACAACATTTTCTTAATTGTACCCTAACATTTTCTTAAAATTATCACATATCTCATATAAAGAGAAGGAAGTAACCAATATATTCCAAATCTGGCACCTCGCAATATTTATCTGATATTTATTTAGGTCCGATGCGAAATGGGCCATATTGGCCCATTTTCTTTGGAACCAACTCCATAGAGGGTCAACAATTTGAAGAATCCTAACAGAAGTCAAAACATATGTAAATAATCGAACATTGGCTGAGGGTATACAACTATCGGCAAATCCGACTGATACTTTTTAACTTGTATTTGTCCTCTATAGACCAAAAGCAATTTTTATAATGGAATTAGTGATCGAAACATTTCCCGTGTTATTTATTGCATCTTTCAAAATTGTACATCTCTTGTTGAATAGTGTACAAATAATTGTTTAAATTATTAATTTCAAAAGCAGTGCGTCAATAACTTATTTTCATTCTTTCGTTTTTTTTTTTTTTGCTTTGCAGATCATATCGGAGAATAGTATTCAGCAAATTAAAGACGAGGCAGATATACAAAAATTGTGTGGCCATCATCCATTTATAGTTCAACAAATTGATTTGTGGCAAAATCGTCATAATTTGCATATACGTAAGTACATGGTTATTTATTCGACGCATGGGATTCCCCGATGTTAGTCAGTTTGTTTTTGAGTGGAAAAATGTATTGATTAGTCCGGGAGTGTGGGCAAATTTATATACAAATTTGTCAATATGTTATCGGGTCGTATATATTCTCCAAATTTACTAATTTCGAATTATAAGTTTATAGTTGTTTTTCGAACTGAACTGAACAAAAAAGTTGTGTTTTTACAAATGAGACAAACCACCAGACTCCATTACATTGTAATTCCAAGTTGGAATATTTTCCAAATTTAGTATTGCATTTCATTTCTTATTTTAATCTCGTTTTCTTCCTTTTCAGTTTCCGAATACGTACCAAATGGTGAACTTTTCTCTAAAATAGCAAACTTTTCCCTGGATCTAATACGTATCTACTTGGCTGAAATTGCTTTAGCTTTGGGTAATATATAGGATATTATAGTTATTTATACAATTTATTTATTTCTTTCTCCATTGCTTTGCAGATTTCCTTCACAACGCTGGCATTATTTATCGTGATGCCAAACCAGAAAATATTCTACTAAGCGCTGATTATCATTTGAAATTAACTGATTTTGGATTAAGCAAGTGGCTGAAACTTGGTTTATCGACAAAAACTATGTGCGGCACATTTCAATATATGGGTACGATTTAAAAACACAATAGAAACTCTCACCTATTCTCCCTCCAAAACAAACAAAGAAAGAAAAAGCTAATAAAATTAGTGAAACAAAAAAGAAAAGACACAAATTAGAAATAGCTGGGAATACAGCTATAACACCAGTAGAAAAGGATATTGCTAAACAACAACTACTACTCCTACTACTATTAGATTAAAAAATAACTTCTCACCACCAAAAATATATAAAAACTAACAGCCACAACAATAGTGATTTTTAGTATTCAATAGTTATTCTTTTGTTGTAACAAATTATCAAAATGAATGCTCGTTCACAAGTTTTCGACTTGACCATGGAGGGTCGTCAAGTGGACGAAGCTGTGGCAAGTATATTCCATACGGTGCTATTCCATCGCTGCCTTGGTAAATATATGTACACCGGAGATGCCCAGTACTCAATTGGTACTGTTGGCTACACCGATGTCGATTGTGATTTCATTGACTTTACCTATGTCTGTTGTACGTCGGACAGTCTACAGCGCACAGTGAAACGGGCCATTAATGTTTTCAGCGAAAAGCTGCGTTCCAACGAAGGCTGTGGCTCTGGCCAAATAAGTTTGGAGTTTTTCAAAAAGAAAAAGTCACGTTGGCCCTTTACGCCCGAATGCATACCCTGGGAGGTGTGGACAATCCATTTGGATTTGATCAAACACGAAAACGAAGATGAACGGCAAATGTGTCGTGAGAATGTTGCCGATTTGCTAACGGATAAAGTGATCTATATAACGGAAATAATGAACAGACACGATTATGTACCTAAGACACCGAGTCAAAGTGAATTGGATTTAATATTTGATACCACATATCCCGATGTCCAGCCGTATCTATTCAAATTTGTCTCATCCACATCGAATTCGGCGGCGCCCTCAATGGGAAATGCCATGAAGAAAATGATCAAAGAGACGCTTGCATTGTGACGCGTTGCAAAGCCGTTACTATTAACGCAGCAATCTAATTACACCCAAGGGAAGGTAACCGCACTAGGAGCAGCAAAGGACATGCGAAAATGTCTATGTGATAACAAGAAATGTATTAAGAAAAAGTCTCAAGTTGTTTATAAGTTCTATCGGGAAATATCTACGACAATGGCTGATAGCGGCGACGGCAGCAGCAACGTCGAAGACAATGAGAATAGTGAGGATGGTGATGACGACGATGATGGTAGTCTTGGTCCAGATGTAATGTGGCAGTTGCCGGACCTATGCACCAGTAACACTGTCACCAATACGGCCCTGAAAAAGAAACAAATGATTGTTTACTACAATGCCACAAAACAGCCATTCTATGGGTTTCTACACGCTCTGGCCCGTGATTTTATGTTCATTTGCTTCTGTCGCCATCATCACCAAAGACGTCTAGGTACATTTTAAAATTTGAAACTTCAAACTCTCAGTTAGTTAATTTTAAAAAATTTAGAATTTTTTTTAACTAATTTAAAATTAATATTTTTTGTATTTTTAATTTATTCAAGTGTGATGGTGAATGTTGAAAAAGGAATATGAGGATTGAGTGAATGTTTGATGATATTGAATGTTATAATAAAAAGATAACACGGTGCTAATTTATAAGTCTTTCGAATTGATAAAGAAAAGGCTGGTTTATTGAAAATAAGAGCCTCAAAATGATTTCAAACTGAATGTATTTAAAATGTTACTTTTTTTGAAAATATACTTAGTATTGTTGTCGATCCTTAGTCCCCAGTAATAATAAGTACATTATAGCACCGTGTAATTAATAATATGAATGAATTCTAATTATTATTTAATTTAATTTGTGTAAATTTCACATTGATGAGTACCTATAATTTAAGATTTGTTTTTAAGTTTAAAAAAATAGTAATTTAAGTTATTTTGTTTGTTTTAATTCTATAAAGGAATAACTTAAAACATTTGAAAACGTGATAATACAAAAATCTAAATATATAAAAATAACTTTAATCTAACTACTTGTATGAATTATTCTTTTAGTTTGGGTTTTGCTCCCATAAACTAAGCGTAATAAATATACTTTCTAAGCGCAAAATAGTAACAAAAACAAAGTAAATATTAAGTTACTTATAAAACACGACATTTTAATTATTACAAAAAGAAAAAAAAAAAAAAAACAGAAAAACCCATCGTTTAGTTAGAGTTAATTACACATAATGTGTATACAACACTACCTAACATGTATTTCATTTACTTTTCACTTTTCTCAAAAAGAAAACGAAAAAGAAAATTTAATGAAAGAAAACAGAAAATACAAACACCAATTATTATTGAAATTGAATGAAAATGGACCATTATTTAGTCTTAGAACAACTAATATTTATTAAATTAAAACTATTTATAATTTTTTTCTACTACAAATCGCCTGCTCACATACACCACTCTCAGACACTCACATCCTACAAACTGCCAGTTATTTTTATAGTTATGTCTTAAGTTATGTTCTGCCAATTTAATTTTTTTTACATAACCTTTTAAAGGTTTAATTGTTTTGTAAAAAATACATACATTTGTTTTTTTTGTGTAATTCAAGAAGAAGCGTTGTTCATTTACCTTTTTTTATTCGTTGATTTTTGTAATTTTGACAAGTTTTACTATTCATTTCTTTTCCCTTGAAGTGTTGAAAAACAAACCAAACATCACATTGGAATTTCCTTAACAGAAATTAATTAGGATCTTTGAATTTAAACCAAGTACTCCAGTTACGAACACCGAAGAGAAGCGGAAAGATGTCCCTCAAATTTTTATTTATTGGGTATCACTTGCACATTTTAATTTGAAAGAGTTTATATTGTGTCCACACCACTATAATGTATTTTCGGCCACATCCATGGCGTTTAATTATAACAGACCTTTCTTCGAAATTACCGAAAGATTTATCTGGCATACCCCAATAATTATACCCTACACCACAATGTGGTCAGGGTATTATGCATTTGTAACAGTCAAAAGGAATCGAGATAGACCCATAGCTACTTTTAATTACCTTTATAGAATCACGTTCTGAGTCGATTTATGCACGTCTGTCCATGTGTTTTTTTGTAAACAAAGTACAGGTCGAATTTATTGCCCCATTCAGATGAAATTTTGCACAAATAATTTGTTTGGCCCAAGGAAGAACTCTATTGAATTTGGAGATAATCATCAAAATTTAGATATATCTCCCATATATATCTTCGTCCGATTTGCTTTTTATTGTTCACCAAACGTGTAATATTAGCCCAAATGGGATGGAATTTGGCATTTACGACCGAATTAAGTCTAGGAGCTAGTATGTCATATTTGGTTAAAATCGGTTCAGATGTAGCTATAGCTCCCATATATTGTGCGTCCGATTTGTTATTTTTGTCCTCCGCAGCCGTAAAATGCTCTCTGTAACAACAATACTTGGGGAAATATATCAAATACAGCTCTGAAATACCTTTGCTAATTTTTACGGAGATCGGGTCAGATTTGGATATAGCTCCCATATATAACTTCGTCCGATTTGCCTTTTATTGTACACTAAAGGTGTAATATTAGCCCAAATGGGATGGAATTTGGCATTTACTACCGAATTAAGTCTAGGAGCTAGTATGTCAAATTTGGTTAAAATCGGTTCAGATATAGCTATACCACCCATATATATTGTGTGTCCGATCTGTTATTTTTGTCCTCCACAGCCGTAATATGCTCTCTGTAACAACAATACTTGGGAAATTATATCGAATACAGCCTAGAAATACCTTTGCTAAATTTTATGGAGATCGCGTCAGATTTGGATATAGCTCCCATATACAACTTCGTCCGATTTGCCTTTTATTGTACACTAAAGGTGTAATATTAGCCCAAATGGGATGGAATTTGGCATTTACGACCGAATTAGGTCTAGAAACTAGTATGTCAAATTTGGTGGAGATGGGTTGATATATAACCATAACTCCCATATATATTGTTCATCCGATTTGTTATATTTGTTCCCCACAGCTGTATTACGCATTTCGTAACAATGATATTCGGGGAAATATATCAAATACAGCTCAGAAATATCTTTGACAAATTTTATGAAGATCGATTCAGCTTTGGATATAGCTCCCATATATATCTTTATCCGATTTCAAGTTAATTGTGCACCAAATGGGCAATACAAGCCCCAATTGAAAATATATAAATTCTTCGGCATATTAAGCCCTCATAACTTGTGTGATTTAATTATCCCATAAAAACTTTTAATTATTATTTGAAGCTCTAATAAATATGCAAAGTGGTGTAGGGTATCATAAAGACGGACCGCCCGACTTTAAGACTTTCTTCACTGGTTTTTCAATTGATCTTCGACGTTAATTTTTTAAAGTTCGTTTCATACTGTTAACTTTATCCCAGGATCGCCTTTAAAACAAAAATAACTTCCCATAAAATAATTAACATTTTCATTCAACCGAACATCTTCGTAGCCAACACTTCTTATATGCATACATATGCAGGAATCTATTAAACAAATTTAATGAGAGTAGTATACCAATTTTTCGATTCACATTTAACCGCTAAAAATGTGCAAAAAAAAAAAAATTAAAATTAGAAAACAATTTAAATAAAAATCAAATTATTTTATTTATTATGACTGGAATCCAGCTTAAGGAGTTCAACCGCTTGTAGTTTACCCTTACTTTTAATTTTTTCAAAACTGGAATAGACTCCGGCCGATAAGATGAAAAAAAATCCTCGAAATAGTTCAACTTCTCCCCTCCAAAGAAGATTATAAAGTAAACCCCTCTCCCCAAAAAAGTAACAGATATAAGAAGCACCCCCCAACTAAAATGTTTATATACAGCCACATAAACTCACATATAAATCAAAATATTCTAAGAAAAAGAATACGAATAGTAAACAAATTATTAAAGAATAAAAACATGAAACAACAACAAATACATTGTGATTTATATTTCAAATGTTTAGTAATTTAAGTGATAACAATAAAAATATAAAAGAAAAAGAAAAATAACGAAAAAAATTAACTACAAAAATGATCTTTAAATTTTAGTAATTCTCAGTAGTGATAATAATTATACATTATATATATATATAATAAATACATATGCTATATTTTTTTGTATTAGGAATTTAGTTTAAGTAGGATTTTGTCCATTTTTTTTCAAATCAAAAGCTTGATTTTTTTGAACATTAATTGGTAAATTTATAGGCGAACAAGAAAAAAAATTAAAGGGAAAAAATATATATAAATTCTTTTAATAATATGAATACAGGGTGAGATAAAAACTGCAACAAAGTCAAAGGTCATAATATTTAATTTTTTTCTAAAATTTTATTGAATGAAAGCAACAAATGTCGGAAATAGCATCAAACTTTAGAATTAGTTTAGATCACGCTTGAATTCTATCACGAATAATTTTTTTTTTCTGGAAAATTCTCACCAAAATGCTTTTGTACGCTTGTAAACAATATAATAAGCTGTCACTGGAATAATTTTAATAACTGTCGGACGAGTGGCTTAGAAATGACAGCAGTCTGAAGATGGTTGCAGTTTTTTCATCTCAACCCGTATATATTTTCTCAAGAAAAAAAAAAATTATTAAGGAAAAAATATCTATAAATTCTTTTAATAATATGATAATAATGATATAATATGAAAATTAAAAACAAATTAAATTATATACAGATTTTCTTTCACTTTGTGCACTAATTGAAACTTTTGGTTTTGAGAAAAAATGGTACATTAAAAAAATAAGAAATATATATTTCAATGTGATTTGCTTGATAAACAATATCTAAATAATTATATAATAAAAAACATATTATATTACACACTTTAAACTGGAAATGAAAAGAGCCGTTAATAAAAATATTATAAAAAAATATTTACCCTCCTCACAAAAAACAACAAAACCAAAATGGGTTTAAATAAAAGAAATATCTATAATATAATGTTACATAAAACAAACAAAACAAAAATATGAAAGTGATTTTTTTAAATATTAGAAATTTAAATTTAGTGTTTTAGTTTAGTCTAAGTAATATCATATGAAAATTTATTAATTATATAATCTACAAAAATAATTAATAATATAATAATAATTATTATTATTAACAAACAATGCTGTGTAAATATTCTATGTATAGTTACAAAACCAAGAAAAAAAAAAAACAACAACAACTGAAAAGAAAATATTAAATCAAAAACAAGAAATTTTAAAAATTAATATCTCCATGGTGTTTTCTTCCCATAAAGGTAGTGTTAGTCTCCTCTTCTTTTCCCCACTCTTCTCTCATTGTTTGCAACTTAGTTTTCACTTTTCCTTTTGTGTTCTCCTTCTATGTCCTCTTTTTGTCTTTATTATTTTGTTACAGGTAAGTAAATTCGTTCTTTTTTTGTTTTGTTACAGCTCCGGAAATTTTAAGGGGTGAACCCTACACTCACTCCGTTGATTGGTGGTCATTGGGCATAATTGTTTGTCAAATGTTTGTTAAGAGGGTAAGTCAAGTTTTCTTAACATTTTTTTAACAAAATGGGGCTGCACCAAATTTTTTAATAAACTAAAATAACACAGGGCAACTCAAAAAAATAAAGTTACACTCCGATTCCTGGTCAATTAAAGCGTTTGAAGTAAGCGTTGAAATTAAATGTAAATCATATTTAATTCCCAAAACAAGATTTAAGGACTCATTGGTAAATCAAAGTAACACACTTTTTTAAGATATTCGACAGGTGGGTAAGTTTCCCTTCTTCCTCATTTTTTGTTGTTGAAATTTTCGGCTTATTATGCCTTAGAATCCGTTCATTTGGGGAATATGGTGTCCTTGGCAATATTTCAGATATCAATACGAGGATTTTTGGTTAAAAGTTTTAACCCTCAAGCGAGATACCAAAGGGGCCTTTTTTGTCCATTGTGCCATTCCGTTTGTAACACCTCGAAATATACATTTTAGACCCCACAATGTACATATATTCTTGATCAGCATAAAATTCTATGTCAATTTAGCGATGTCCGTCCATCTGTTGGTCTGTCCGTCTTTGGCAATCACTCTAGCTTCCGAATGAATTGAAGTAGGTTGATACCATTTTACTCAGATGTGTCTTTAGCCTGCAGGACTTTTTGTATTGAAAATTGACTATATAGGTCCACGTTTAGGTATAGCCCCCATATAACTGTACCTCCCGATATTCGGTATTTTGATAATTTTAGCGACATTATTCACCAGAATTGTTTGAAATTTTGTATTCGAAGTTTGTAATGGGTACTACAGGCTATGACAGAAAATTGTCTTTGCAGGTCCAGGTCTCGTATAGCCCCCATAAAACCTCCCCATATTCCGTATTTTGATTAGTTTTGCGACATCATTCACCGCAATTGTTTCAAATTTTGTAATTGTTTATGCAGCTCCAGGTCTTCGTACCTCCTTACATTTGGTATTTTGTTGAGTTTTGCGATATTATTAACCGGAATAGTTTCAAATTTCGCACTTGAAGTTCCTAATAGGTACTACAGTCTATGACAGAAAACTGTCCTTGCTGGCCCAGGTCTTCTTATAGCCACCATATACCGGTACCTCCATATATTCGGTATTTTGACGATTTTAGGTACAATATTCACCGGAATTGTTTCAAATTTCGTATTTGCAGTTCGGGTTGTAGTACTCACAACCCGTGACAGAAAATTGCCTATGCAGGCCCACGTCTTCGTACAGACCCCAAAATAACGGTAACTCCCTGGATTTAGTATTTTTAAGATTTTAACGGAATTTTGAACGGATTCTGTTTTTTTTTTTGAAAATTTCCAAATTTGTTCCAAATGGTGGATGGCATTGAAAATTCGACCCAGACGAACTTACTGCTTCTTAACTTGTTCAAAATATAGTTAAAAACGGGCGTTTTTGGTCCTTTTCCATCGGCATCGTAGCAAGTCGAAATATTCTACAAATTTATTTGTCGTAAAATTCTATAAAAGTTCTCATAAGACATCAAATCTTACCTAAACGCCAGGAACTCAACATTAAAAACACGTTTTAGGGTTAAAGACGTACTTCATGCGAATTTATGCAGAATTCTCCTATAAAAAACTAATTTAGAAGGATGAAGTCGAAGACAAAAATATTTTTCATCATTGCACAATGGATCCACAAATGATTTTCATGTTCAAAACTATTTCAACGTCTCCATGTGTAAACTCCAGAAATCAAAAGTGAGATCAATGCAAAATTTCAGAATTTCAGCTCTATCCTGTCACCCTCTTCATCCCAGACACCAATAGTGATCGAAAATTAGTACCATTTAGTAGTTTTCGAACAATTATAGTACGCAAAACTATCAAGAGATACAATCTTTTACATTCAACCAATACCATATTTATTAACATTTAGTACTTTTTGCATAATTTTAATAATCAAATCCATCCGAGACACCAACTTTTATCGTAATATAAAATTTCATGGTTTAATAAAACAAATTCAAAAATTTAAAAAAAAATGTAATACTTTAAAGCATAAACAAACAAATAGCTCGGTCTACCTACGCGTGAACATGCCAGGAACAGTTAACGATTAGAAAAACAGGAACATGCCAAATTTAGTCCGCATACACGAAGGGATAACCCCTTTCCAAATGCCAAACGTGCAGGAAACTGCAATCTTTTGAAGATGAGTGGCGTTTCTGTTCCAATTATGTAGTGAATTCGAGGTAGCAACATACTTCCCCGTAATAATCGTAGCCTCAATGAAATTGTTATGTAGTTTTTTACTGTTAGCCTAATACCATTCAAATTCTTAATAAAATCATATCTCAAATAAAACCGATTTCAATATAGTTTGACAAAATTTACTTTTACACTAAATTCCGTCACACTTCCATATTTCATTGAAATTGAATGTATATATATATATGGGAGCTATAGCCAAATCCCAACCGATTTCAATGAAAATGGGCAAAATTTTTTTGGTACCAGATTTAGTCTCTCTGTCGCATTTCAATGGAATCGGACATACATATCGCGTTGGGTGCATCAAATATGTAAAATCGGCCGAAAATATTTATGGGAGCTATATCCAAATCTGAACCGATTTAAATATAATTTGACAAATTTATTTTTGTACCAAATTTAGTCACTCATGCTGAATTTCATTGGAAGCGGACATAGGGATCGTGTTGGGTGCATCAAATATATAAAATCAGCCGAAAATATGTATTGGAGCTACATCATATCTAAGCCTTTTTCAATATAATTTGACAAATTTATTTTCTGATCAAATCCCGTCACACATTCCAAATTGATTTTTGTTCCAAATTCTTTTACACATTCCAAATTTGAAGAATGTATCTATTACCGAGCAATAGATATGTGCATTCAGCGGTTTTTGAGTCTATAAATTACAAACGTACAAACATTTTCCCTTTATAGATATAGATAAAGTTCTCAACCGATTTCAACTTGATGTGACTATAATGGGTTTGTTCATCTCCACATCTCCAGTGGGTACCATAGTCTGCTCAAAAACAAAAATATAAATATTTACATAAAAACTTTTACAAATGATTTTTTTGCATTTCTTTTATCTTTTTTAAAAGATTAATTTTGACACTGTACAAGTCCGTTGAGAACAATATTGTTGCATTTCATCAATTAATCATATTTATTGCGCAAAATATTAATTATCTTTCCTACGTTGTTCCATTTACTCCTAAAGTCGGAAACAATGGGATGCGCGTAAATTGCATTAATTTTAAACAATAGAACCAATATAATATCTTCAACAACATTTGTTGCGACTTTTTGACATTCTTGTTATATATTTCGCTGTGGATTTGGCGTCTTCAATATTTGGATCATTAATCAAGCAGGAAATAATCGATCGAGTCTGCGATTCGAAAAACCATTCATGAAAAGAGAGTTGAAAAGAAAAACGAATTGCCATTAATGTCTGAACTTAAAACTTAATTAATTAATCGTTCATTTACATCTAATGATGGATAGTAAAACAATAACCTCATTGTCGGAATTCCCTAATTGTTTAAATATGAATTAGAATTCATTTCTGTTTTTATTGAACTGATTCGTCTCATTCTTACTATTTTATAAATGTTTAAATTAGTCTCACTACTGCGATTAGTTAGTACATTAGAAATTCATATTAATGGAGATTTTTATTACCATTAAAACGGTCATAAATTTTGAAAATTGACTGCTTCCAATATGAAGCCCATTGAAATGTCTGGGAATTTTACTACCTTTACGGCTAAAGTGTGATTATTAACAGCGAAATAATTTCTCATTGTTAGTTTAGGTTTTTAGCCTTTCTGTGGTTGTTTTATTAATTAAGAAAGTCTAGTGCGTAATTTGTGAGATTGATACATTGACATGATTCATATGCCTTTGAAATGCGCAGAAGTGCTTGTTAGAAATAGAATATTAAAAGTGGATTGATTGTTGTTATACTTAACATGAAGTTGACAATTTAAAAGGTATATAATTTCCAATTGGGCGGGCATGGGGAAAACAAATACGAATAACAAAGTGATTTAAAAATATAAGATACGTGTAACGGCGATTTGAAAGTTTACAACGGGGGGTAAACTAAATAAGGCTTATTTTTACATTTTCGAATATATTCAAATTCCCTTGACAAAATTTAGGTACAACGTTTTTTCGGCAATAGTACCCTCAGCTGAAAACGTTTAAAAAATTCATAAAAAACAAAATATTTTACAAAATTGATCATGAAATTTTACTCTTGGCCACTACAATATGTATTCTGAGTGTCAATTACTTTGTCAGCAACAAGGCCACCTTAAAAGTTCCACCAGTTCGTTTTAGTACTTAAAATGGACAATTTGTTCATTATTTCTTGGACGAAGTTGCACAAAAAATACAAACAAATCTTCATACATTCTACAAATTTTTCAGCTGCACCAATTCGATAACACTTTTTTATACCATGGGTATATTTACTTTGTCATTCCGTTGGTACTCCTCGAAATACTCATGTCAGACCCAACAAAGTATATAAATTCTTGATCAGCGCCAAATTCTAAGTCGATTTAGCGATGTCCGTGTATCTGTCTGCTGTAATCACACGAATTTAGATAGAAGGCTAAAATTTTGTACACATGTGTATTTTTCCAGTAGGCAGGTTAAGTTCGTAAATGTGCCATTTCGGTCCACGTTTTTGTAGAGCCCCCATATAACGTTACCTCTCAATATTCGGAATTTTTATGATTGTAGCGATATTTTTACCGGAATTGTTTCAAATTTTTATACCCTACACCACATAGTGGTAAGGCCTAGAAGCAAGTATATCAAATTTGGAGAAAATCGGTTCAGATATAGCTATAGCTCCCATATATATCTTTCATCCGATTTGATCTTTAAGTCCCTCACATTTCTACTATGCACTCCACAACCGTGATATTTGGTACCAGGTATTAGATGGAGCACAGAAATAGCTGTTTTAACTTTTATCGAAATCGGTTCAGATTTGGATATAGCTGCCATATATATCTTCATCCGATTTCGGGTTAATTGACCACCAAATGGCCAATATCAGCCCAAATGGCCCGAATTTTGGCACATGTGACCGAGATTAGCCTTAAAGCAAATACAACAAATTTGGAGAAAATCGGTTCAGAAACAGCTATAGCTCCCATATATATCTTCATCCGATTTCGGGTTAAATGTGCACCAAATGTCCATTATCAGTCCAAATTACCTGAATTTTGGCACACCCAACCGAGTTCGGCCTAGAAGCAAGTATATCAAATTTGGAGAAAATCGGTTCAGATATAGCTATAGCTCCCATATATATCTTTCATCCGATTTGGTGTTTAAGCCTCTCACATTCGTAATATGCACTCCACAAGAATGATATTTGGTACCAGATATTAGATACAGCCCAGAAATAGCTTTTTGTAATTTTATCGAAATCGGTTCAGATTTGGATATAGCTCCCATATATATCTTCATCCGATTTCGGGTTAATTGTGCACCAAATGGCCGATATAAGTCCAAATGGGCTGAATTTTAGTACATCGGACCAAATTCAGCCTAGAAGCAAGTATATCAAATTTAGTGAAAATCGGTTCAGATATAGATTTAGCAACCATATATATGTTTCATCCGATTTAGAGTTTTAGTCCCATACATTCGTAATATTTACTCCACAACCGTGATATTTGGTACCAGGTATTAGATGGAGCACAGGAATAGCTGTTTTAAATTTTATCGAAATCGGTTCAGATTTGGATATAGCTCCCATATATATCTTCATCCGATTTCGGGTTAAATGTGCACTAAATGGTCAATATCAGCCCAAATCACCAGTCTAGAAGCTAATGCGTAAAATTTGGAGAAACCCGGTTCAGAGATAGCTATAGTTCGTAAAATGCACGATAGAATTAGATAGATTTTGATTTTGTACCAAATATCTCATAGAGCTCTGAAATGCCCTGCATAAACCTTTTTACGAGAGCTCTACTAAATATGCATAGTGGTGTAGGGTATCATATAGTCGGCCCCGCCCGACTTTTGAGCTTTCCTTACTGGTTTATTTAAAGTTCGTAATGGATACTACAGCTTATGACAGAAACTTTCGTATACAGGTCCAAGTCTTCGTATAGCCCCCATATACCTCCATATGTTTGGTATTTTGATTATTTTAGCGGTATTTTACACCGGAATTGTGTTTCGTATTTGAAGATCCAAGTCTTCGTATAGGTCCCATATAATCAGTTTAATTTTAGAGGTACTTTTTAAGTTTTTTTTTTCATTTTTTTCAAGTTCAAAGTTCGGCCCGGACGAATTGCCCCTTCATATTGTTCATATTCAAGTTTTTCCTTTATCGAAACGATAATCAAAAATATTTTTGCACCAAAAAGTCTTCAAAATCTTTCATTTTGAAGTTTTCTGAAGAGAATATCAATTAAACGCTTGCACAATAGTTCCACATCCAATTTTTAGGGCCAAAACTATTTCAACGTATTTTCTTAATAAAAAATTCCCAAATCCATCTTATTATTTAAAAACCATATACCAACAGTGGCCTCTACATTAAATTTCAGAATTCCAGCTTTATCCTCAGACACAAACCCTAATTTATTTTCCTACTTTTCGTACAGTTATGCTACGCATGTCCAAAACCACCAACTTTGGTGTCCCTATAGACTAATAGTGACCTCGATACTTCAGAAAAACCTCTATATCGCAATACCCAAGGGCAAATTTTGTGGCATTTTGCACTTTTTGTGCGTTTATAGAAGGAATTTCCAAAACCAGCTCCTTCCCACAACAACAGACACCAACAGATTCCTCCAAATCAAATTTCAGGATTCCAGCTTTATCCCTTCACCTAATACTAAATTTAGTACCTTTCGCAAAATTAAACTTTTCCAAAATCATCTCCATGTCTAAATTTCAGATGCAATATCTGAGGATTCCAGCCCTATCCCTTGACCCAATCGATAGTTGAGTACTATTTAGTACGTTTCGTACAATTATAGTACACTTTTCCAAAACCACCTCCATATCTCAATACAGAGACCTAAATATTAAAATTGAGGAATCCTTGATATTCATATACCTTCATATACCTTCACCCAATACCAAATTTAGTGCCATTCTGTACTTTTCGTACATTTATAGTATGAATTTCCAAAACCAGTTCCTTCCCTCAACTACAGACACCAACAGTTACAGCCAAACCAAATTTCGGGATTCCAGTTACATTCTTTCAACCAATACCAAATTAAGCACAATTTAGTTCTTTTCGTATAATTTAAGAAACTTTTCCAAAACCACCACCGTATCTCAAATGCAGATACCAAAATATCAAACTTGAGGATTCCAGAACTATACCTTTACCCTATAACAAATTTAGTACCTTTTAGTACTTTTCGTACAAATATACGACGCACTTTCAAACCACCAAATCTTAAACACAGATACCATCAGTAATCTAAATATCAAATTTTATAAAATTTTATGTCTATTTTTTCACCCCATACCAAATTAAGTACCATTTAGTACTTTTCGTACAATTATAGTACGCCTTTTTAATACCACCTCCATATCTTAAGCACAGAAAGTTGCAGGATTTAAGCTATATTCTTTTATTCATTTTTTTTGAAAAGGGATTTTTTTACTGTTCGATTTTCGGTGTATATTTTAGTGGTGTATATTTTAGTGGGGAGTGGGGGGTCATCTTTTTATGTGGAGGGGGATATTTTCAGGGTTTTTTTTTTAATTTTTATTTTTAAATGTTTTCTCTTTATTCTTTACTATTTTTTTTTTTTTTTTTTTTGAAAAAGGGAGTTTTTACTGTTTGAAAAATCGAAATGGTTTAAAGTTCTAATTTCTAAAAATCCTTTAGAAAAACTATCCTGCACTCCATCAGTGATTCTCATTCCAAATATTAGAATTCTTGCTTTTTCCGTTTGTCCAATACAAAGTATTCAATTTTTAGTTCAATTTGGTACATTTCGTATCCTTTTAGTAAGAATTTCTAAAAACGCACCACTATGCACCTGGTCCGGCTCCTGTGCCTAATTTCAAGATTCTAGCTTCAGCCGTTTGTCCAATACAAACTATTCACTTTTTAGTACATTTCAATATTTTCGTGCCCTTTTAGTACGAGTTTCCAAAAACTCAGCCTTACCATACACCTTAGCACCAAGACCGGCGCGGGAGATATTTCAACATTCTAGCTTCAGCCGTTTCGCCGGCACGTTGATTATAGGTCATAATAATAATAATTTGACAGCAGTTTGCAATTGCTCTACAAACTGCTTACAATTCATCCTCCAAATAAGCACACAACCCCACAAAACACTGCAGCAATTTCCAGTTCGTTTTTTTATTTTCGTTTTTATTTATCTTCAGTCTATTTTAAAAAATAATAAAAGAAAAATCATATAAAATCAATGTTTATCCAATCTAAAGAAAAAACCGACAAATTCTCCAAATACATGAAGTCCATAAAATCTTCAAAATTTACCCAAAAACTTTATGAAAATAATTCCCACAGGACTTCATAAATTGAGAAGTTGTCGTTAATCCATGCGTTTTTTATAACTTAAACTGATTGCGTTCGTTCCTTCGCTCTGTCTATCTGTGAGAATGTGTATATTTGTAAATTGTATGTATATGTATGTGGGTCTGATTAAAAATTATAGATTGCATTTGCCAGCGTTTGTTTTGATTTTGTGTTTTGTCTATATATATAGAGAAATTCTTGTACACACAAAAAATAAACTAAAGATAATTAACATAATTATTATATGTAATTATAAATTATTAATTAATTGTCATCCTAGTTTGATCCTTTCCATAACTTAAATTATTGCTGATGATGATTTAAGCCTTTACAGTGTTGTAGATAAATAATACATATGGAGTTTAAAATACAAAGAGAGAGAGAAAGGGAGAGGAGAAGTTACAATTTCTCTTTCCCTCTTTCTTTCTCTTATTTCGGAAGATGCAACAATTGTCAATGCGACTTCTCGATTTCATAACGTTGCCTCCCGTTTTTTTAATTTTCGTTGTTTTATCTGCTTAGAAAAACTTCTTAAATAATTATTAAAAAATATTTATAAAATAATTTTTCATAGTGCAATCTGTTTCTTCATCTTCTTCATATCTTTCTTTCAAGTGCCATATTTTTTGTGTTTTAAGAAAAAAAAATTATAAATTATTGTATATTTATATGCCATCATATTGGTTTGTCCTTGCTTTGTTTGTTGGGTTATGGTTGGGGTGAATATTGGGTTATGGTTGAGGTGGGTGTGTTGGGTTGCTGTGCTGGTGGGGGTTTTGTGTTTGAAACTGTGATCGGCTTAGCCATAGGTTCAAGCTCTTATTTTGTTCTCTCTTTTAATCTTTTCTTGTCGTTCTTTAACAAGTAGCTCTGTCCCATGTCCTTCACCGCATTCTGCTTTATTATCACTGTGTGTGTGGTAGACTCTAATACTATTCTTGATTCTATTGATTTTTCTTTATTATCTGTCATCGGGTTTTCTTTTGCTCTCTTCCTTCTCTATGCCTACATAATTTGTGCATGTCTGCTTTGTTCATATTTATCCTGGCGGTCCCTGGTTTGTCCGTTGTTTGTTTTTTGTTTCAAATAATTTTTGTGAATATTTCCCTTATCTCTTTTCACATGACATTCGTAGTAATTCTCTCTTACGTTTTTAAGCTTTGTTCTTTACTTTACAACTAAAAATAACTAACTAAGATTAAACTTATAAAATTTGAGTTGAATTTTCAAGGTCCTCTCTTTCAACTTTTCTCACCCTCTCTCTCTCTCTTGCCCCGGAAGGACCTTCAAAATCCAAACAATGGAATTTTTTTCCAGATTTTTTTTTCAATTTGTGGGTCATTATTTTTGTGGGATATCTTGGAAAGTGCCATATTCATTCTATTTGCGACTGTTTTACATTAATTATTTAAAAAAAAAAATATTCAAATATTTACTTTTAAATTATAAGTGAACCTTAAGCGTTTCTTTATTTTTAATTGTTGTATTTCTAGATATATTTATATGCTACAATCTAATTGGACTTGTCTTCTTTAGATTCTTCAGATTCTTTTGACTCTTCGGATTCCTTGGATTCTTTTGACTCGGCTTCGGGTTTTTTGCTTTCATTGGATTTCTCTTCTTCGGTGGTGGCCGAGTTGTCTTCCAATTTCTTGGGGGCCTGTTGTTCTTCGGGTTTCTTCTCGGCCTCTTCGGCCTTGGCGGGTTCAGCAGCATTAGCCTTGGCGGGTTCAGCTTCAGCGTCGAGTTGCTTGGGTTCAGCTACTTTGGATTCTTGGGCTTTGGGGCTTTCTTCAGCAGCAGCGGCGGGGGCAGCTGGTTCTTCGGCCTTCTTTTCGGCAGGGGTTTCCAAGGCCTTGACAGCTTCAGCTACAGTTTCAGCGGCTTTGGGTTCTTCGGCCTTGGCTTCAGCAGCTTCAACGGGCAAGGCTTTGACTTCGGGTTGGGCTACAGCTTCGGGGGCAGCAACTTCGGCAACGGCGGGAGCAGCAGCGGCAACGGCTTCAACAGCTGGTTTCTCATCGCTGGTACGTTCTTGGCGGGCAGGCAATTCTTCGGCTTTCTTTTCCTCAGCAGCAGGCAATTCTTCGGGCTTCTTTTCTTCCTTGATTTCGGGGGTGGCTTCAGCGGCGGTCAATTCGTCTTTCTTTTGTTCGGAGACCAAACCAGATTTGCCTTCGGGAACAACGTCTTGTACAGCGGGTTTGGATTCTTCGGCAGCAGCAGGTTTGACTTCCTCAACGGCAACAGCAGCTGGGGCAGCAGCAACAACGGGCAAGGCCTTGGCTTCCTCTACAACATCATCACTGCGGGTTTGTTTTTCAGCAGCGGCAGCAGCGGGTAATTCGGCTTTCTTTTCCTCAGCAGCTGGCAATTCTTCTTTCTTTTCTTCCTCCTTCTTGGGTTCTTCGATTTTAGCAGGAGCATCGGTGGCGGGAGCCTCAGCCAAAGGAGCAGCAGCTTCGGCTTCTGGTTTCTTTTCTTCCTCAAGTGTTCTTGATTCAGCTGCTACTTTAACTTCGGGTTTGACTTCTTCAATTTGTACCACCTCAGGTTTAACTTCGGGCACCACAGCCGAATCAGCAACGACGGGAGCGGCAGCTACTTCTTCATCCGGCACGGGCAGAGCAAAAGCGCTCACCAAGAGGACGGATAATATGACTAATTGGAACTTCATGCTGCAAAGATAAAAGAAAGGGAAAACAAAGATATTAATTTTGGGAATAAAATATGAAAAATTGGAAAAATTTAAGAAAGGATGCAAAATGGCGCCCAAGTGATTCAGGAGAAAAGCTTTTCAAGTGGGTTATAAAAAGATAAAGACAATTTTTCACTTTAAAAACCGATTTGCGAACTGGTTTTCACACATTTAAAGTAGGATGCAAAAATGGCGCCCAAGTTGTTAAGGATAATTCGAGAAACGCTTTCCAAGTGGATTTTTAAGAAATGATGAACATTTTTCAAATTAAAGAAAAAAACTGATATCAGCTTAAACTATAACCAGTTCTCTATGATTTGAGTACCGGTTTCATACATTTAAAGACGTATCCAAAAATGGCGCCCAATTGTTTAAGGATAATTCAAGAAAAGCTTCCCTAATAGGTATTTGAGATAGATAGATAGAAGGATATTGAAACAGAAAAAACATGATATCAGCTTCAACTAGAACCATTTATATAGGCTTTGCGAACCGGTTTCATATTTTTTTTTGAATCGGTTACACTTCTGAGACCATTAAATCGATGAAATTTCTTTTTTTTTATTAAAAATAAAGCTACCAAAGGATTTTATTTCCTTCAGATGTTTACTCAAATCAAAAACCGGTTATTCGGTTTTAAATTTGTACTCAACCCCAAAAATATGATGTGTATACTACAATTAATTTTAAAAGTTTATACATAAGAGATAATATTAAAAAAAGAACTGTTGAAATGTTTTATTTTTCCTGGTTTAAGAAACCCGGTTATTTATTCGGTTAATCAAATTATTGAAGCGATTAGCAGGCTATTTTAGCTGTTGATTTTTAATTTACCCTATATAACCGATTTCGAATACACTCGAAATTGTAAGACGATTTTTATTCTAATCCATAATCGGTTACCCGGTTCCAAAATGATAAAAATCCTTGAAATTAGAGAAATATCTGCTGGTCTGCGTCCTATTATGTTAAAAAATGAAAATTATTGAGATAAACCCGGATATTTATTCGGTTTTAAGTGGCCAAGAACCGATTACAAAGGTATAATGTGTTCTTAACTTTAGGAAAAAACCGTTTTAATTTCCATTTCGTCTTTGTACCCATTAATGAATACTTTTGAGCATATTTAATTTAACCCCAAACCCGAGTACTCGATTCAAAGTGGGAAAAATTGCTCCAACTGAATGACATATATATTGTTTTATGTTCTATTATTTAGAGGATTTCAATTATTTGAGTCATTAATTGTTACTAGACTGTCTTATGTGGAATTACAAATCGGTTACCCGGTTCAAAGGATTTTTAAATCCGTTCTTAAATGTAGAAAAAAAAGTTTTATCTACCATTGCTTCTGTCTTTGTATCCATTAATAAAAAACTTTTGAGCACATTAGAAACATTTTAAATAAACCCCAAAACCGAGTAACCGGTTCTAGGTTGAAAATATTGTTGCGACTAAATAAAATATATACTATTTGACGTTCTATTTTTTAAATATCATTAATAGTTGTCAGACTATCATAAGACTAACTTAATTCCAATCCGATTACCCGGTTCAAATGATTTTTTAAAATAATTTTTCTTAATTTTTTTTTTTTTTTTTTGTAGAAAATTCGCCTTAAAATTGTAGCTAAACCACACACATATATATTCGCCTTTTTAACGTTTATATTTACAATATTTTGCTATTAACTCGGTTTTATAACCGGTTCAAAAAAGTCTAAAAATCTTTGATTTTCTGTTTCTAAGATCCAATATAGTTTCCAAATCATTCTCCTAGGGGATTTTTACTTAATTCTCTTACGTAAAGAGAGCTTGAAATGGATGTGCTGAGAGGATTCAGGATTATCCAGAGCTGGGAAAGTAAAATTAGTTCGATATTCCATTTTAGGGAGAACAAAATGATTACAAATGAGATTTGAAAATTGTTTAAATAATTTTGAAACCATTTAAAGCCAGGGAAATATAATTGACGAGTTAGATTATCTCTTGCAATGCCTTAATTTTGTTGAGAACAAACGGAGAACCTTTTTGAAAACCAGTTAAAAAAAAATCTCTGAATTTGTTTTTTTCATTTGTTGTTGTTTCATTTAAATGTTCATATAATACCCATTATTTTAATGAATATTTCACAACCTTTAACATTCTTCAAGTTCTTCTTCGTCTACAAACTTGAGGTTTTCCTATTCAAATGGCAATCATTCGATACCAATCACTTGCCGTGGTTAACATCATTAATTCTACTCAATTATGGTCAAATATTTTTTTCTATGCTGTTATGGCCGCAGAGGTCAAGCGTGATATGTTAAATATCAAGAAAACAAATAACAAAAAACGTAAATAACAAAATCTGCATATTTCTGTAATGACTTATTAACATTGCAACTTAAAACTGTCAGGCCACGCAGAGCCAGCCAGCCATCCAGCCAACCGAGAGCAACGTCTAATCATTGTCATGATTATGCTGGCTAAATTTTATATTGTGGTTACGACGACGAACCCACAATGGATGAGCTTCAATTGTGTAATAGCTAGAAGTTCAGCTGCATTCAAAACAAAAAGTAAAATCAAAACAAAAACAAAGGAGGACTTGTCCTCCACTGTGATCAACAACGTAACGCAGATGATGATGAAGAAGAAGAGTGTTGCAACATCACTAACTCATCGTTGGTTGTCAGACATGCATGCATCATTATCAAGTTAGGCTAGCCGTTTATCGTATAAATCGAGTATAGCTCAATTATCATAATGTCATGTCATGTGGTATTTTTTTTTGAGGTTTTGAATTACGCTACGGAAAAGAATCTGCCAGTAAATTATCTGGTACCAGCCAGTCAGCCAGCCAGCCAGCCAAGCAACCGTTATTGTGTTAATTTGATTAAATGTTTTGTTGTCACCTAATTGAAATGTTTGTAAATTGAATGATGCCCCCCATAGTTAGCTGCAGCTTAAATTCAGTCACTAAGTGAGATGATGACGGAAGATAATTCTGGTATTTGATAATTTTTGTGTATGGAATTTTCGAGAAATTTTCTTTGTGACCAACAGCGATGGTTTTCAAAACAAATTGAGTAACAAGTTTAAGTTCAACGTCTTATACGGCGATGGACAACTAAAATGGGGGTGAGAACTTTTTTTGTGGTCAAATAAAGCTATAATTGATCAAGATTTTCCTGAGAAAAAATAAGCACATGTAATAATTTGTTTTATTTTTTTGTTGGGAGATTATGAATTTCCATTCCTGGTCAATTAAAGAGATAAAGCGCTCTCTTCCTGTTAACAGAGATATTTGATAGTTAACAGAGAATGATAACAGTTGTGTTTTTGGTGAGTAGATGAAGATATTATCTCATTAAGCTATGGTGAGTTTTCTTGACAGATATTGATAAGAGGAATATTTACTTGAATGTTTATTTTTAAACATATTCTAATGAATATTTCGAATCAAAAGCCATAAATGGAAATATTCGATATGGAAAATGTCGTATTTATATATTGATTAAAAAATAAATAAATATTAGCTTTCTCATTTTCAATTTTGGAAAAAAAGTGAAAAACATTTCTCCATACTAATATAGTATATATATTGATAATAATCTTATTCTTGCTTAATTTTATTAATTTTCACTTCTTAAATATTTCTTCTGGACTACTTGGCTTTAAAATAAAATAGGGGTCAAATTTTCGCATTAGATATTAAAACAATTATGAATATGAATTTAAATATGTACAACTTAGCTTGTTTTATTTTAAAAAATGACCAAAAATTAGGCCAGTTTTCTCAATTTTTTTATAATTTTTTTTTTAAATTTTTTTAGTTTTTATGAAGTTGAATTGTGGAATAAACAAAAAAAAAAAAAAAAATAAATAAATAAATAAATAAAATGTGATTTCTATCAACAGACCAGATAGAAATCACCAACAGAGACCTCAATATCAAATTTGATTATTTAAGCCCTATTCCTACAACCAATACCAAATTAAATGCCATTTTTGTACAATTATAGTACACCTTCCCAAAACCACCTCCATGTCTTGACCACAGATACAAACAGTGGCATCTATATTCGTACAGTTTCCAAAACCACCTTATTTCTCAACTCCAGATACCATAAAAGACCTCAATATCAAATATAAGTATTTCAGCCCCATTCCTACACCGAATACCAAAAAAAAAAATTCAATTTTTTTACTTTTCGTACAATTATGGTACACATTTCCAAAAAAGAATTGTACCTCATTCCGCCTGTTAAATACAAAGTTTCTATTCCAGATACCAACAGAAACCTCAATATCAAATTTGAGGATTTCAGCCCTTTCCCTACACCGAATACCAGATTATGTACCATCTAGTACTTTTCGTACAATTATGGTACACATTTCTAAAACCACTTCCATATATCAGCTATATCCCTTCACTCAGTATCAAATTTAGTACCGTTTAGTACTTTTCCTACAAATATAGGACGCATTTCCTAACCACCCCGAATGCTCAGAATTCAGAATTCTACCTCATTCCGCTTGTTTAATACAAAGTTTAGTACATTTTCGTACCCTTTTGCTACGAATTTCCAAAAAACCCCAGCCTCGCACCATTTTTCAGAATTCTAGCTCTTAGTACAAAGTATTCCTTTTTTAGAATGATACATTTTTAGTACGTTTTCGTACCCCTTTTTGTACGAATTTCCAAAAACCCAGTCTCGTACCATTTTTTTCAGAATTCTAGCTCATTCCGCTTGTTAGATACAAAGTATTCCCTTTTTAGTACATTTTCGTACCCTTTAAGTACGAATTTCCCAGAACCCAACCTTGCACCGGGAGTGACTCTAATGTAAAATTTGAAGATTCTAGCTTCATTTTGTATGGACGTTGATACTCAGTTAGTTATGTCACTGCTCTTAAAAAATGTGCCTTAATACCCTTTTATTCTATTTTTAAATGTTTTTTTCGAAGTTATTTTGAAATTCTAGAAAGTTATTAT